CAAGACTTTCATCTTAAATTAGCTTCTCGACGATTTGGAGATATATATCGAGTCGTGAAAATTTAGAAAATGTGTCTTTCGACAACGATTGCTTGTATTTGTTCAAATAATAATTATTCGAGGGATTTTATTGATACGTCACAGCGATTTATTTCTCCGCAATTCACGAGACTTTCATCTTAAATTAGCTTCTCGACGATTTGGAGATATATATCGAGTCGTGAAAATTTAGAAAATGTGTCTTTCGACAACGATTGCTTGTATTTGTTCAAATAATAATTATTCGAGGGATTTTATTGATACGTCACAGCGATTTATTTTTCCGCAATTCACAAGACTTTCATCTTAAATTAGCTTCTCGACGATTTGAAGATATAGAGTCGTGAAAATTTAGAAAATGTGTCTTTCGACAACGATTGCTTATTTGTTCAAATAATAATTATTCGAGGGATTTTATTGATACGTCATAGCGATTTATTTCTCCGCAATTCACAAGACTTTCATCTTAAATTAGCTTCTCGACAATTTGGAGATATATATCGAGTCGTGAAAATTTAGAAAATGTGTCTTTCGACAACGATTGCTTATTTGTTCAAATAATAATTATTCGAGGGATTTTATTGATACGTCACAGCGATTTATTTCTCCGCAATTCACAAGACTTTCATCTTAAATTAGCTTCTCGACGATTTGAAGATATAGAGTCGTGAAAATTTAGAAAATGTGTCTTTCGACAACGATTGCTTATTTGTTCAAATAATAATTATTCGAGGGATTTTATTGATACGTCATAGCGATTTATTTCTCCGCAATTCACAAGACTTTCATCTTAAATTAGCTTCTCGACAATTTGGAGATATATATCGAGTCGTGAAAATTTAGAAAATGTGTCTTTCAACAACGATTGCTTATTTGTTCAAATAATAATTATTCGAGGGATTTTATTGATACGTCACAGCGATTTATTTCTCGCGCAATTCACAAGACTTTCATCATACATTTGACGGAAATACATTTACTCTTCTCAATCAAGTTTTCAGTAAATCATAACGAAAATTTGTCTCGCTCCCTCTCTCTGAAAACCAAACAAACGCTAATAAATTGCGACTGAATATACGAAATCCCTTGCCAATAATATTATTCCCGTAAACGAATAGTCAGTTCAGCGGAACGATTGTTGCAGTCAACGGATTACATAGCAAAACACGTTTCACCGGGGGTATAATTTTCTAAATGTACTCTACTAACTCGGTAAAATGATACTCCGACGTTTGATGTTTTCCACGATCCGCGATGAATTATAAACGAGGATGCACGCTCCCGTACTAACGCGAATGTCGAAATAAATACACGATAATCGCTGTAAATCTGTCCACGCGCAACTACGGCGGGATATATCTATATACTTCGGGCTATCATAAATGCAACTTTTTGCTCTTTGAGTGCCCCGGCCGTCAATGCGATCATCAATATGCAACTCACTCGCTGGAAATTGTGCCGCTTCGCGCGAGATTACGTTATACTTCTGATTATGGCGCCGGCAAACCATTCTCGAAATGGAAATCAATTGATTCGTCAAATATCTATACGATAATCCAATCGCAAAACCCAATTGTCGTGCTTAAAAAATAACTGGATGCGAGTTATGAAAAAATACACGGAGAGGATTTTCTCTTAGAATTTACCCTGAAAATCCACCACAATAAAAAATATTAATATGTACATAGCGAAATTAATCAAGTATATTTTATATCTTATTGCGATAGATATTAATATTTTTATTGTGCGCGCGAGCTGAAGAAACGACTTGGAAAAAAATGATGAAACGAATAAATATTGATTTCAATACTCCCTAATAAATTATTGATTTGAAACAAATAACTATTTGTGAAATACGTGTGTATTTGATTTCGAATATTGAAAAATAGTTGGATGATTTGGTCGAGGGGAAAACTTTCGCTCGCTTACGTTTAATAAACGCTGGGATGGGGATGACGAGCAACTTTACGTCAGGCTTCTCAAAGCAAGTTTTCGCACTGTCTGAGCAACTTCTCCGTTCCGGCAACGAGGACGACACAAGGCATTATCGAAATTCCATATTTCACAACGGCGACGCGACCGACTTGGCGCGGAATTAAAGGGAATTTAACGAGCATCCTTGACTGGCAATTAAATGCAATTGGCCTCGGCCCGTCGTCGTGCGCGACTAATCCGTCGGAGGGCTGCGGGATTAGACGAACGTGGCGCACGTTCGGAGGATTCTGCGGAATTGTGCGCGCAATTTTCAGGCGCGCACGGGCGCGATAACGTCAGATTCAATTTGCGACGCGAATTCGAAACGTCGTTAGTCGCCCCGTCGTCGTCGTCGTCGGCTGCTGCTCATTTTGCGACGTAACTCGATTTGTCTTTCATCGTGTGTGTAACTGACGTATCGGGGTCGTAGATTCGAGCGAATTAGCGCGGGATGTGTTAATTTTCGTTCGATTAGTCTTCCGCCGGACTGATGCGCGATTTTTCGAACCCCCGTTTGTCATCGCCAGTTATAGGAAACATCGATTATTGCGCCACGTGTTTTGGATTTCCCACGCGAAATTGAAAAGGGCCGAGTTTAATATCGCGAATTATATACTTCCTAAATCAAAACCATTCGAATTTCAACCGGGAATTAAAACTGCGATACCTTTGTGCTGCTGTACGAATGTACAGAAAAATTTGAGAGAGAATGTGTGTTCGGTGCAGAGGTAATATATAAGTTGAGGTAGAAATTTGCGACAGCAAACTGCGATTGTGACTTTATTTATTTATTTATTTTTTTTTTGTTTTCCCAAAAGAGTAACGAACGGGAAATAAGCTCGAAAAAATTTAATGCACTTTTGTACGTGAAAAATTAAAAACAACCGTCGGCACGAGAAATCGCCGTAACGGCGCGGCGGAAAGTCAACAAAAACAATGCTCTCTTTTATTGCCGCGAAAGTTCGGTCGCATTATCAGAAGGGTTTGTTCGTGACAAGTTGCCCGCCAACAAAGAGAGGGCTGTCTCGTCCTACAACGAGACAAACTAGATTTTCTCGCCGAATTACAGGGACGCGCGATATAGAAAACTCGTTCGTCACGCGAGGCCATAAATAATCGATGAACGAGATCACGAACAAAATGTGCATCGATTCAGCACTTTTCCTCCCTCCCGATTCTGCAGAATAACGCCAATTTTTCGATGCGCGAGAATATGGCCGGTTAAATTAAATTAGTGAGAGGTCTCGACGCTGTGTATATATATATATATATATATATTCCTCGTTCACACATTCAACTATGTAACAAGCATAAACATATCATCCGAATTCATTGCATTTGTTTGCAACATTTTTTTTTAAACACTACAGTTCGATGGAAATGAAGCTCAAAGCAAGAACGCCGTTTTGCAAAATTGGTAAATTGAATTTCGCATTTCAACGGTGAAGTGAAATAATTAATTAACACATATAGTTTAGCTTTCAAGTTAATTGAATACATTTTTAAAAATTAATAGAAACGCGTTAAAATATATAGAAATCTTGTAATTATGTAAATATATTTATATTATTTTTTTTTAATTCTAAATTTCGTGCTTAATGATACTTTTGCATAAAATATTCGAGGCTTGTAAACGCAAGTTTTATTTTTCAGCTTAATAAATAAATAAAAACATTATATTATCACATTGCGTTATTACGGTAAACACAAATCTTGAACGATATTCTTGTAACGAAGCGAATCTCGCCGAGCATTGAAATCAATGCTCCTTTGCATCTCGATTATAAACCGTCGCAAGTATACAATGTCGGAAATTACTGCCCTGAACAACTAAGCAGCGGAGAATGACGGCCGGTTGCTCTGTAATTAGGCGAACACGAGAAGATTTCAATTGCAGACTACGCTTCCGCTTATCAAGCGCGTCAGGGGTGGCATAAGCAAACCTAGTGCTTATCAAAAACGTCGACTAATATATTGTTATAAAGAATCATTTCAATAAAAATGCAATTCACGATATCTTCCCAATCAAATGACTTCTAATTTACCAAATTTAGCTGTCAGAAATAAACCGACGATCCCCCGAAATTTTTCTCGCGCATATATCTTCCGAAAAAAAGTTCCCGATCTCTTTTTAATTAATAAATCTCCATCGTCGCGAAATTTTGAAAGGAAAAGTATACGACGTGACGGCAAATGACTTTTTTATCGCACCGCGCGTAAATGGAAGAGTTCTCTTATTACAATGGCCAACCATTAAATCAGTAAAGTTCATAGACTCTCGCGAGGGACGACGAAAGTTCTGCGGCTAATGACGCGGGACTTTTAAAACGATCGGACTTTGCGCGCGTCTATGAAGTATTGGTATAAAATTTAGTCGCTCATATATATTCTGCGAAAACTTTCGCGAGCATAAATACTCTGCGCCAAAGGTACATGCTGAAGAATAATGTCACGGATAAAAGAAGCTATCGAAGAAGCTTCAGAGTCTCCATTCTCCGCACTTTCCCTCTTCCTAACTTTACCAATCATTTAAATTGCGATACTTGTTCAGATCGTTATTAAACACGTAGGTATATATTTTCACTATTTATTCTGCAATTTTTACACTTAATATTTATGTAATTTTCTAGAATTTTTTTACAGTGCAGTCAATCAGTGATGGGTAACATACATTTAAAATATATCTGGATACAGATACTCAGATACTTAAAGTCATATCCAACTATAAGACTTAAATTAATTCACAAGTTACTCTTAAATATAAACTAAGAAATAAATATAAAACTTATAAAAATATTTTTAAAAAATATTTCTTTACAGACTCAGTCACACAAAATGTATCTCGATACTACCCAACACTGCAGTCAATCATTCATATTATTCGATTGCTTTTCGCGAAAAAAAAAAAAAAAAATTTCACCGGAAACAAATTGCACACGAAGAGGGAAAATGACGAAGAATGAGGGTGCAAAAAGGAGCGGACTTACCTGAAAGTCGAACTTGCTGAACTCCTGCTGGGCGTCGATGTCGGCGTTTCTCGGGGCGATTACAGGACAGGTGGCGAGCGACACTCGAGCATCCGGCAGCTCGCTGTAATCCGGGGTGACTGAGGTCAGACTGCTGCGGTCGTATCTGAGCTCCTCGTTCAGGATGGCGGCGGGATGACCCGACGACGACGACGAGGACGACGAGGACGACGGACCCGGCGCCTGGACCTGGCTGACGTAGTACAGGCACAGCAGAAGTGACAGCACCACGACGCCGAAAACGAACACGCGACCGGAGCCGCGACGTAGTATCCTGTACATGATTCAATCGACTACTCGCGTATTTCGTAGACTCCGCGTTCGTAAATCACGTAGATTCATCTAGGGATGCAGCATCATCAGCAACGACGATGATGCACGATCGGTTCTTGGCTTCGTCCTTCGTCGACTCCATGGAACGTCGAGGTGACCACCTTTTTCAAACAGACAGAACAAATATTTTTTTTTTTCAATATTTATATCATTTTTGTTACATCATACTAGAATTAATAATTGGTCAAACGTATATTTAAATGAATAATAAAATATATTATTTATTGAATTCGTAAAAACTTGAAATTTAAATTACGTAGAAATGATATTCCGATTTTTCGCTTTAAATAGGTAATGAATTAATTATTTCTTTCATGTAAATATTATGTAAGACTGAAAATTAAATAATATTGAAAATTAAATGATTATCTTAATTTCGAACGAAATTTCGATATTAATATATTTTGTGTGAAAATAATTTTGTAGATAAATGCACATGTTCTCGCGAATATGTAAATTTATAAGCTTGTAATAATAATACATAGAGCGGGCTTCGTGCCGAAACAGAGGAACGCGATGAATCGAAATCAAATTTTGAATAGTAGCTATGATCATTAATGATAATTAATTGCGATATCGCGTACACCGCGCTCTTTACCGTTGACTGATCGAAATACAGACGTTTTAATCTCAACGAGATGAGAACATAAGGGAGATTTACATTGAATTAATTAATTTCATTGAATTCAATTATTCTATATCGGAAAACATGGACAATATAATACCTTTAGCAATCGTAGAGGTTAATACAGAAAGGAATTAGAGAGGGCACATTGATTTTATATTATGTGCATTATACTTGGATAAAAATTAAAGTAAACTGAATTGAACAAAAAATCATCATATGGTTGATCGCGTCGTCGTAAATGCGAAACATGACGATGTCGCCTCTAATATTAGTCGTTTATACATTCAGAATGACGAGATGCAAAATTACGGCTCGATGTATAGCTCACTTTATACGAGAGATCATAATAATTCGCGCACCTGGACTTTTTCCACGCGAAATATACAATAATTACGTATCTTTACCCGCGAATAGCCAAGGTCGGTCAAAATACGATCGATCAACTCTCTTTGCTATAACAATTTTCTCTCTCACTTGTCCACAGTTCCATCATTTGCGACAAATAACAATCTGTCTTCGTAATACAGAATGCACTTTTATAGGATTGAATAAAAAGGACACGCGATGTGTAAATGTCTACGAGAGTCGAATATTAAACCCAACTAAAATAAATAATCTGATAATTATTTGATCGCGTTATAATTGTACACAATTTCATTTTATTAGCGAGGAAAAGGAACAAAAATAATTCTAAAAAAATATATAGAAAACACAAAATTCTCGCATGATGTAGCATTGTTACTTTTCTATTATACTAGAAACAATAAACCACCGTAAGAGATTCGTAAACATCTTTGCTCAATCGCAAATCAAAATTGATCCCGCGATTGAGACCGTGTCAACAAATGTTTTTCGAAATCGAGTCGAGAGTGTAGTGAAAGATAAATAGATAGAGAGAGAGAGATGAAACTGACTCAGCCGTTCGACGATAAGCTCGAGCTGGCGAACCAAGGACACAGTGTATTTCGGAACCTTTTGTAGCTCGCTAAAACCTCCGTTGCAATATATAAGGTCACTTTTCACGCGATAATCGATCGCAGCTCTTGTATAATTCCGCTGGCACGCGGAGAGAAACCAGGGCGAAACAAAGGGGAGAAAGAAAAAAAGGGACAGAGAGAGAGAAGAGGGCAAAGGGTTAGCTGAAAGGGAAGCGAGATTAGAGTTTAATTCGGTATTAATTCAACGCGTAAGAGACGGACGATGCGAGAGAACTTGATTGCAACGACTTGATTCGAGCGCAAAACGCGATAGAAACTGTTCGTCCGAAAATTCATACAGAGATTAAACCCGGCCAGCCAACGTCAACATTATCGAAACATACATGGGCGGGATAACGATATAGTTTGCAGAAGAGAATGAACAGTTGTGGAAAATAGTGGCAATTCGAGGATGAATCTACAGTTAATTAAGCCAAATAAAATGGTGAACGAGAAAAGCTGTGAAGAAATATTTATTTTTCATTTATATATAATAATTATCCATCAATTACGTGCTGTATATAATTCATATTGTTTGAAAAAATGAGTATATTTTACGTTTAATTATATTGCTATAACGTAAAAACAACATATGTTTTATATATTTTTTTTTTATAATATATAATGCAATTAATGTATCTAATTTCACGTTTAATTCCTACGATCAGAAAAATATGATTTGCGCCAGCACTCTGTGTTTACATTGAAATGAAATAAATATGTGTCCGCCATTATATTAGCAAATGGAGTTGAATGACTATTAAATGAAAATAAAATTAATTACATTAGTTCTCTCGCGGTTAATGAAATTTTGAAACGAATACCAAATTCATGCGACATATGCTCGGAATGTTTGCAATGTCACAAAACGAATAGAAATCGATTGAAACGATCTACATTTCTCGCAGTAGTATTGAAAACAATCCACATTATTGCAAGTTATTAAGTCGCTATAAATACCAGAAATTCTCGATGTCGCGCGCATTATTGTCGACGATTGATTTCATTCGCGAATGATATAATAATTATTATAATATCATGAATCGCAAAGTGGAGCCGCCCTGCTGTCAAACGCCTACTTGAAAAAGTCGAACAATATTCGCGAATTTTAAGCCTCTCTCTCTCTCTCTCTCTCGCTTCGTCGTCCTTCGTGATGAAAAAGATCCCCAAGTTCCGCATCGGTGCTTCAATTTTCTTCACGAGGGCCCTAATAAAAAACGCAAGAGGAGATTGAGGAGACAAACGAGAGGGACACGAGAACGGCCGGATGCTCGTCAGGTGCCGGTCCTTCAGCCATTCGACCAACGACGCCCCGAACATAATCCCTTTGTCCGTTCACAACCGGGACGATGAAACGTGTCGAGGATGCGTTATCGAGTCTCGTTCGATATGCTCGCGATCGAACGCGTTGAGAAAAAATAAGGACGCTCGAATCGAAATTTAGCCAACGTAGCGCCCACGTGACATTCATCCACTCCCTCTTTCTCTTTTTTAACGCGTGTTTTTGAAATCGTGAAAAATATATTCAGTTGTCGGAAGTCATGACGTATTATAATACAATAATATTATATTATATATAAATTATATATAATATTATATAAAAAATTAATTATACATATATAAGTGAAAAAAGCTTTAAAAACATAAAAAAAATATTTATATAGCTATTATTTTTATATTTTACATCCTCTCCTATTTTTGGCTTCCTCTTTCTCTGATGTCAATTATGAAAATTATTGACAATTAAATATTCTTGGCGCGAGTTCTGCTGGATTAATTAGACTGAACCTTGTATTGATCGAGAGTAGACAGACACTAATTCGAGTGTTTTTTAGGAGAAGTCTTGGAAGAAGCTACCCGATCAAATTTGTCGTTGCTAATTTAATTATCAAAAACTTGAAAAACTCAAACTATTGTTTTCTAGATTATTCCATCGCAACAAACAAGAGTCTTTTGTGACAAACAACTGCAGAGTACAATGTGCAGTGTCAATGTGCGATTTTAATGAATATACGAGTTATAATCAACGTTAAAAGAATATAGCAACAAACACGAATATGAACTTGTACGTTAATATAAAAAATGTGAACGACCAACCACTCTCTCGATATAATAAAATAAAGAATTAATATGCGTAAATCACAAATTTTTTTAAAGAACAGCAAAAGTTATAAGGAAAAAATTTTTAATTAAAATATCATATTTCAATTGTGAATTAAATAAAAATCGTCATAAATATAGAATTCTGAAAAATATTACGTACACGAATTAATAGATAGACTTCAAAAATCTGCTTGAAATTTTATATCTTTATAGATGCGAGCTAAAAAAGATAAACTACTTAGGAATATTAAAAATGGTAGGTTTTACTACTTGACGCTCAGCCACTCGGATAATCAAGTAGTAAGAGTCAATTATTGCGTGTTTCGATCAGCTCCTTTCGCCAAAAGCCATCGGGAGGACAAATTGCGAAAGCAATTTCAAAGTCTGTCGGTGAAACGATACGCGATAGTTGGCTAAAAACTCGGTCGAATGTGCGTTTCTCTTCTCTCAAAAAGATATAAAAAAAGGAATGACATCGTCGCGACGAAAGGGTGTTTCTTCAGAAATGACACATCTTCCCCGAGGAAAACTTTGCAAATTGCGAGCGATGGAAAAGCAATTTTTCGAATAGGCTACAAACTGTGTGCTCGAAACTCGCGCTCGCGACGAGAGAAACAATTTCTTTCGTCCTATCTCGCCTCCCTTCTCTCTCGATCTTTTCTCTTCGTGGTTCGCTTCTCGTCGCGTGCCGCATTTCGCGTGTTCGGACGCGCTTTAAATTGGGCGCCTTTTAAAACGTGCGAATTATTCAACGCTCCGCGTTACACCTCCGCCGTTTGTTATTTTCCCCTGCTCTCTCTCTCTCTTCACTCTCTTTTTCACGTATTACGTGACTCGAGTTACGAGCGCACACTGAAAAAATGTCGCGCCGTCGACAGTACGTTATGATTATCCATAAGGTATTAACTCGTTTCGTTATTCGAGATCCTCATCCGTATGTTCAGTGTGCTTTCGTTATTTTATCCTTAATCCCTCGCATGCTTATAATGTATTATTACTTGAAATGTGTGAAAAACTCTCGTCGATCCCTTCGTGTATTCGCGCAAAGATAATCACTTTTCATAATTAATTATTCTACCATCTATACGTGCACATTTCGATAGATTATTTCATATTTTATTTCTTGCGAAAATAATGTTTCTTTAAACAAAAAAAAATGGAATTTTTTTCATTGACGTCGCGGTTGCACAATTTCAATCCCGCGATTATAATTTCACGCGAGAGTTTGAAATAATCCCGCTTTCGGTTTTGAATTTTACTTACTAAATACGGGCGCATGTGTGTACACGGCCGATGTAAATATATAATTAAAATCAAATGATTAGCATTAAATGTGCGGTACGATTTAAACAAAATTATCGTATTTTGTACGAGGGTGCTGTGACTGCCTCCG